GGGGGCGCGGGGCAATGAGGCCGAGCTGCTGGAGTACCACCGGCGCCAGCGCGAGGAGCGGCTGCGCGAGCAGGAGATGGAGCGCTTGGTGAGGGGGCGCGGGGGCATCGGCGGAGGGGCCGGGGGCAGGGTTGGCAGGAGCACGAGGGTGTCTGGGGCAGGGGCGGCGTGGTCGGTTCAGGCTGTGCTCGTGCCTGGTCGGCGCATGAGGCCGGCCTCGTAGACGTGCCAGGGTCACGCCGGCTGCTGGGGCATGCCTGCATCTCTGGAGAGGCACCATCGTGCCAGGCGGCTTGGAGCTGGGCAGCGGCTGAGCCGCTCCTGGGGGGTCCCCTGGAGAGGGAGGGTGGGGGTCTGTGCCATAAGTGGCAGCTGCTGTGGCCCTGCCCAGCCGGCGGTCAAGGCTGGTGGGTGAGTGCCGAGGGCTGCATGGGTGGCCCCCACCCACCCGCTGCCACCGTCCCCGGTGGGTGGTGCTTGTGCGGATGCTCCCAGGGCCGAGCACTCAGCTGCGAGGCTGGGAGCTGGGGGCAGGGCGCTCTCTGTGAGGCCTGTGCTGCAATCAAGGCCAGGGGTATGCGAGCGTGGGGGCAGTGGGGCAGGGAGCCAAGCATCTGGCCCTGGTGGTTAGCTTCCTGGCCTTGGTAATTGCAGTGCGCGCGTGGTGCAGAGCTTCCCCAGGCTGCCGGAGGCCTTGCAGGCGCAGAGTCCCTATATTTAGAGTTGTTCCAGGGCAGGGGTGGGGCTCGTCCCGCCCGAGCCTCTGTCCCGCCTGGGTGACATGGGCGCTGCCGTGGGGCCTGGGGGTGCGGGCAGGGCGCCGGGCACCGAGCAGACATCCCTCGGAGGCTGCAGCGTGGGGGTGGGTGCAGGGTCCCTGCCCAGCACGGCACCGTGAGTCCAGGGCGCGGGCTGGGAGCCTGGGCGTCCTGGCTCTGACCTGCGACACCTGCTCCCCTTCCCAGGCTGTGGGTAGAGCCCAGGCCCACGCCGCAGGAGCACGGCCGTGGGTGGGGACCGCTGCCACAGCCTGGCTGGCAGTGGGGGAGGAGGCTGTTTACTCAGCACTGACTCAGTTTGCTCTCAGACGGCCTGATTCACTGTCCAGAAATAGCCCCGGGCTTGTGCGTGCCGGGCGCTCCAGCCCCGCGCGGCTGGCTCTGTAATTAGTCTGTCTCCGGCTGCTGCCCGGTCACGTGCCCCACAGGCGGGCTCCTGCGCGGGTGGTGCTGAGCGCAGGTGGGCAGGAGGGCGAAAGGGCCTGAATGGGCACCGTGGAAGAGGGCAGGACCCCGCTGTGAGTACGTGGCGCTGGGGCCTGCCGGGGGCACCCCAACCCCGCTGGAGACATGTGGGGCAGGCAGGGTAGGAAGGAGTAGGGCTCCCCCCTCCGCTCTCCCCAGTGCCCCTTCCTCCCCCGTGGGGCTGGCCTGGCCTTGGCTGTTCCCGTGGGGTGGGGCCGCGTCTGCAGCAGGTGCAGGACGAAGCCGTCCCTGTGCTGCCTGCCTCGGGCAGGGGGCAGGGGGCAGGGCGATGGCCATAGTGATGCTGTGCCTGGCACTCACTGCCCTGGAGCTGTCCCCAGCACGCGTGCCGCTCCGTCCCCGCCCCTGCGCAGAGCCAGCCAGGCCCGGTGCCGCCAGCTGGGCTCCTCGGTGACCTCACTTGGGCACTTGACCTGTGCGGGAGTTGGCAGCAGCATCTGTGCAGTGCGGTCAGTGCCTGAGCAGGCTGGACCCCTGGCTCCCCAGGCCAGCAGGGTCCCCCGGGGACGCTAGGGAGACGCGTGCATGTGCCCCTGTGTCTGGCGGAGCGCCTGACTCCTCCCACAGCCTCAGGTCGCAGGGCAGCTGCATCTGCATCTACCGGGCAGGGGGTCACTGCCATGCCCAGCCCCGTGAAAGGGGGAGAAGCACTTCTGGGACCAGCCCCGCCACCTGACAAGAGGGGAAGCAGCACCTGGGGCTGGGCTGCTGGGACAGGGCCTGGGGGGTGAGTGCTGCATGGGGCTGGCAGACAGCTAGAGCCAGGCGCTCGGGGCAGCCCCCTGGTCCTGCCATTGCCCCAGCACATGGGCCTGCCTGCAGCCTGCGGTGCAGACTAGCGTCCTTGCTGGGCGCTATGGGCAGAGTCCTTCCCGCAGCGTGGGAGCGCCCTGGCCTGGCGCCAGCAGACGGAGATGGCTCTGAGGCACATCTGGCCAGGGTGCGGCCGGGCTGTGCAGGGCACGCTGTCACGTGCCTCCGTGATGAGCCAGCCCAGGAGCCTCCTGCCTTGCTCAGCAGGCTTGTGGGGTGTGCAGCAAGTATGTGTGCGCGCGCATGTGTGTGTGCATGTGAGTGCACCCTCCCACCTCCCCGGGCATGGATGTATGAACAGGACCTGTGTCCTGCTGTGCCCAGGGGTGCCATGGGGCCTGGGCAGCATGGGCCCTGCGACTGCAGGACTGAGCCCCTCGGGGTGACCAAGGTGCCAGCCTGGCACTGCTGAGGTTTGGTTGTTGTGGTTGGTGTGTGGACAAGGGGCACACAGGGGGTGCAGCGCAGGAGCTGGGGAGCATAGGGGCACAGGGCAGGGAGCAGCAGGGGCTCCCTTGAGGCCGGGCCAGAGGGGACAGGGATCTGTCAGTCCCCCTGGGCCCTGTGGGCCAGGCAGGGCTGGGGCCCAGGTGACGGTTTGGGTGCCCCGCGATGGGCGTCAGGCTTCACGCCAAGGCTGGCCGCGTTTGGGTCGAGGTGGAACTGGTCGAAGCTGACACGCATCAGGAGCATCCTCATGCAGCCTGCTGGGGTTTAACTCAGGCCAGGCGGGGTCCCCTCCCCGTGCGGTGTCCTGGGTGAGCCTGTCTGTCCCGCGGCCGCAGACTCCCAGCTGCTGAATAGCCTGGGCTGCAACTCCACCTGGGCCAAATCGGGCTCCTGGGACCAGGTCTCCATGCTCTGGGCCGTGGCTGCCATGTGGTGCCATCCCGACAGCCAGGGGCAAGCAGCTGTGCCCAGCAGAGCTTTCTGCCACTGCACCGTGCCACGTCGTGCCCAGGCCAGGGCTGAGGCGTGCAGGCCTGGCCAGCGTCCTGGCAGTGACAGGCAGGGCCAGGTGGTGCGGGACGGGGCCGGCTGAGCTGCGGCTGGGGCTGAGCAGGTGTCCGGACCCCGCCCTGGTGCTTGGCCCCGTCTGTCAGGCCCACGCAGGCCCCGGAGCAGAGCCAGGGATTTGGGACCTGCCACGTTTGTGAGTGCCTGCCCCACTGCTCTGCTGGGAATTGGGAGCCCCGTGGGGCTGGATTTTGGGGTGCTCATCCTGTTCCACATATAATCAATCACCCTGTCTGCTGGGCCCTGTGCCGGGGTGCCCTGGGGCTCCCGTGATGGTCCCAGAGCAGGGCTCAGCAGCCCCATGCCAGCCAGACTCAGACGTGGAGCTAGTCCCCAGGGTGGGCCGCCTGAGACTCGGTGCCGTTCGGAGCGTGCCGGGGCTGGGAAGGTGTCCTCGCAGCCTGGCGTGACAACGTTTCATCCCATTGTAGCATTGCTGCGGCGTGGGCTGTGGTGTCTCCGAGCTGAGGGCAAGGCCGGGGGTCCCGGGCAGCGGTGCCTACATCTGCAGGGGTGGGTGGTGTTAGAGGCTCGGCGAGGCCCCCCTGGCTGTGAGCAGCCTGCTGATTTGATACCCCCTCACCCTGCAGGAGCGCCAGCGCCTGGAGACCATCCTGAACCTGTGTGCGGAGTACAGCCGCACTGATGGGGCCGCAGACGTGGGCGATGCGCACCGGCTCTTCCCCGGCGATGGCACGCTGACAGGCAGGCGGCCCTCCAAGGGCTCAGCCGGCTTGGCTGTCCTGGGCCTCGGGCGCTCCTTGGAGGAGCATGGGGAGCCCCTCATGCACCGGCAGATGATGGAGAACCTGGAGAAGTCGGATGAGGAGAATCTCAAGGAGGAGTGCAGCAGCACGGAGAGCACCCACCATGAGGTGAGGGATCGTCCCATGGCAGGGAGAGCACCCACCATGAGGCAAGGGCCCTGGGACCCAGGGAGGAGGGTCTCCAGGGGCCTTGGGCAGAGCTGCCAGGCCAACAACAGGGGCACAGGCAGGGTGTGCCAGGTGAGCGCTGTGTGGGGGGCTGGTGACAGGGTCATTGCAGCACCCACTGCCTTTGTCCTGGCATTGTGGCAAGGGTGGCAGGGGCCATGGGATCCTGCGAGGTCCGTCGCACAGCTCAGCTGAGTGCTGGCCCATCTGTGTCGGCAGCACGAGGAGTCCACGGGGGGCAGGGCCAAGGAGGCAGCTCTGCTGGAGGAGGAGCGGGCGCAGGTGCTGGCTCAAGTGGATGAGCTCAAGTGCTGCGTAAAGGAGCTGGAGCAGCAGCTGCAGGAGTCGTCCCGCGAGGTGAGGGGCTACGGGCCGCTGTGCATGGAGGGGCGCAAGGGCCATGCTCCCGGCCAGGGACTCCAGGGCATTGGCCTGCCCCCAGGTCCTGTGGGGCTTGCTCTTGAGGGTCCAGCATGGCCCCCCCAGCCCCTCCACAGGTTGAGTAGGAGGCACCAGACCCTCCCCCTGTGTGATCCTCTGGGTGTAGACTCCCATGGGTCAGAGCTGCCCTGCAGCCTGGTGTGGCCTGGCCCAGGCCAGGGGGGCTGCACGGGCCCTGAGCATGCAGAATCTGAGCCATGGTCCACAGCCCTGGTCCCTCCATGCCCTGTCTGCCAGCAGAGCCTTGCTGGGCTCCAGGCCCCATGGCCGTGGCAGGTGGCTGGCCAGAGGCTGCTGGGCTTCTCTGACCGGTTCTGTCTGCACAGGCGGAGATGGAGCGGGCTCTGGTGCAGGGAGAGCGCGAGGCAGAGTTGATGCAGCTGCAGCAGGAGCAGAAGATGGCTCAGCAGCTTCAGGAGAAGCTGTCCGGCCTGGACGCTGCCGTCCAGAGGGAGCGCGACAAGGTAAACCCCGCAGCCGGAGCCTCCTCTCGCCTGGAAGCAACGGCTGCAGCGCATTTGCTCAGTCCTGTCGGCTGGAGAACCCTGTTCACGCACCCCCACTGCGGAGGCTGCTCTGTCGGCCTGCGCTGACCCTGGAGGACAATGGCGCGGGGTCTCCGCATGGCGTGCCCTGGACTTGTCCCCCGGGGCCAAGCCCCTTGCTCTGGGGTGCTGTCCTGGCTGTGTGAGCCTCTCCCATGTGCTGCTGCCATGGGCAGAGCCTTGGGAGCTGCGGTTCTGTGTGGGGGCATGAGCCAGCCCCTCCCTTCTTGGCGCCTTCCCTTCCTTCTGTCTGGGTGCCTGGTCCGGGGCAGACGGGCCGCTGTCTGTCTGGGGCTGGTGCTGTCCGTCCTTGGTGCTTCTACGGGAGTGCAGCTCTTTTCAGTGCTTGGGGCACATTTTGGTAGCCACTCTGCTGGCAGAGCCCTCGCCAGGGCTTTCCCGTCAGCTGCAGCCGGGTCCCGGGCCTGCACCCCCTCTCTTCCTGTCTGTGGCCTTGGTGTAGGAGGTGTCATGAGCTCGCCGTTCTCTGTCTGCCCCATGGAGCCTGGAGCTCCACACGTGGTGGTGACAGCTGTGGTGTTTCTCGGGCTGGGGCACTGGGTCGCTCTGTTCAAAGCATCGCCTGGCTTTGACCAGAAACGCGTCGTGGGGCTGTGGATTCCTGGCTCGGCTGAGACCGGTTCCAGGAGGCAGGGAAGGGGCTGGGGCCTGGGGCTTGCAGGCGATCCCACCCGGGCCCTTCCCCACCTGCTGTCTGCTCTGTTCTCTGAGGAAGGGCTGTGCCCCGCTGCAATGCAAGCACACCTGACCGACCGACCAACCGACCGACCTGGAGGCAATGCTGTCAGTGGAGCCCTGGCAGCCTCCCATCCTGCCCCCAGACGGTGCCCTGCTCCCTGTCGGCTTCTGCCCCAAGAAGCCCCTCGCCGCCCTCAGGCAGCCCAGCCCCACAAGGGGAAGCGGGGCAGGGGGATGACCGCCTGCCACGTTGCTGGAGTGAGGATCTTGCTCCTTGCCCAGCTCCTGAGAACCTTTGCCCGGCTCCTGCGGGGATTCCTCGCTGCTGCCCCAGCTGTCCTGCGGGGATTTGTTTCTTCTGTTGAAATTCTTCCAGCCCTTCCACGAGCCCTTGCTTGCAGCCGCTGGCTGCCCGGGCACGGAGCCCAGAGAGACCACGCTCCCACGTCCGCGCTGCCTCCATCTCTTGCCGCTCTAACCGGCCTGCTCTGACCCTCTGATCTGACAGCGCCGCTGAGCTCTGCCTCTAACCCTGCCTGCCTGCCTGGGTCGCACCTAACCATTGGCCCGGCTCCTCACGGGCCCCCTTGTCTCCCTAACACTTGTCTTCTGGCCAGGCCGGAGGGGGCCAGGTACAGCGCCCCTTGTGCTCTGGTTCCGCACTGATGTGACACGCGTGTGCATGCATGCGTGTGAGTGGTGTGCTGCTGCAGGTGTGAGAGGCAGGGGAGACTTGCTCCGGCACGCATAGTGCTCCTGATTTGAGGCTTCTTGGCTGGAGTTCAGCCCCGGTGCTGCTGGAGGAGGGTGTTGGGCTGGGGCTGCTTTTGTGGGGCAGTGCGGAGCTGGGCTGCCCTCTGGCAGCATGGCGTGCTGCTCGCAGGATGGAGGTCAGGGGCCTGGGGCCCAGGGCGGGCTGATCTCCTGACACGACCCCATTGCTGTGGCCTGGGGGCCCCATCCTTGGCGCTGCCCCGGACAGCTCTAGTGCCCGTGTGCTGTGGTCACAGTGTCTCGGGGAAGGCGTCCTCCAGTCCCCTGCCTGTCCCCTCTGGCCGGCACCAGTGTCCACTGCCAGGTGCCTGTGCCTGGGAGCCCCCGCCTGGCGTGTTCCCTGGGCCTTGTCCCCCAGAGCTCTGCCTGCAGTCTGGGCACCGGGGGTGCGGGGGTGCTCTCAGAGCTGGGCTGCGATGTGCCCCTCTCCCCACATGCGCAGGGTGCGTTAGCTGGGCATGTTGCCCTCCTGCTCTGTGCCGTGCCTCATTGTACACCGCGCCAGCCGCCAGCCCTCTACCGTCGGGGCTGGTGCCTGGGGGCTGCTGAAGGGAGGCAGGCGGGAGGGGGCTGCAGGGACGGGCCATGCATCAGTGCCCAGGAATTCCTTTGTCACTGAGAAGCAACTGAGCTCGGTGGATGTGACTAGCTGGGCTGGCATGGAAAATTCTGTGCTATGAATAGGCGTGTGCGCGCCTGTGTATGGTGTGGTGTGTGTGCACGCAGTGTGCGCGTGCAGGGGGCGTGTATGTGTGTGTGCATGGGGGTGTGCATGCGTCTCTGTGTGCATGTGTGTACGTATGCATGCACAGTGTCACTTGGAGTGCAGCAACCCAGGGGAGGGCGTCCAGGGACATCTGCTTGAAATCCAGTTCCCTGCTCCCTTGCCCTGGAGCAAAACGTTAGGTAGCAAAGTCCCCGCAGAGCCGCGCTTCTCCAGCAGCTGTGTCCGAGCCTGCGGGCCCCAACCTGTGCTGTGACCGGGCTCTGGGCGCTGCTTTAGGGACCCCCGCAGTCGTACTGGACATGGGGCAGCGCGTGTGGGATGGGAGGGCTGTCGTGGGGTCAGCTCTGGTGACTAGGGCCCCTGTGGTCTGGTTCTGCTGACTCACTACAGGAGATGAGTCAGTCACTTCCCTTCTCTGCCTCAGTTTCCCCACCTGTGACATGAGTGCAACAGTCCCTCTCCTCCAGGGGCTATGAGGGTGCAGGACATTTAGGGACCAGGGGAAGGGGCAGGCACCTGGCGCAGGTGCTGCGTTCCGGCTCCGGTTGGTGGTAGCGAGAGCCTCCTACGCTCTCTGAGCACGGCGTCGTGTCGCTCTGCAGGACAGAGGGCAGTGGCAGAGCTCGCCTGCGTGGGGAGTGGAGAACAGGCCAGCACCCCTTGGTCTGCTGTGTCACTAACTCACTGTGGCGTGACCCACGGGCCCAGCATTAACTACAGCAGGGCTGGATCTCGGTCTCCACGGTCAGCGCCCCCGTCGCCCCTTTGCACAGAGGGGCGTGCAGCCCTGACCTGCCCTTCCTGCCCCCGTCTTTGGGCGGCTGAAACACTCGGTGCCTCGCTGGGGCTCTTACACCCTGTAAAACACTTGTCCCCGAGGCCAGCGAGGATGCCTGGCGCTGCTGCGTGCCCCTGCTGGTGGCTGCGCCGGCCCCGGGCTAGGCTGTGCCCAGAGCCAGCTCCTGTCCATCTCCACTGGGCTGTGGCGCTCGCTGCTCAGCCTCTGTCCTGAGATGCAGACCGAGGTCCAGCCTGGAGCAATAACCACGTTAACCCTCTAGCCCTGGGTCCGTGCTTCTGCTTTCTCATCTTCCGGAAGACGCCCTCTGCGCCTCGCCTGCCTGAGCGCTGTCTAATTCTCCGCTTCTGCATGGCGCGCATTTGAGAAGTGTTTTCTCTCTTTTGTGTTTTGTTTGTTGTTTTCCCCGATTCAGGAGAGGGCAAAGGTTGATGCTGAAAGGAAGGAGCTAGAGAAACTCCAGGCGCTTTACAATGAGTCGAAGAGCCAGCTTGATAACTGCCCTGAGTCAATGCGGGAGCAGTTACAGGACCAGATGAGAAGGGTCAGTGTTTAACCCCGCCCTCGGGACCACGGCCCACTTCCCCCAGCGCCAGGCTCGCGTCTCCATCTCCAGCCGCCGCCGTCTGGCTGCACCGCAGGCTGGAGGAGGCTGGCACCCAGGTGTGCGGTACTGGTAAGCTCGGCATGGTCTGGCTGGCACAGCAGCAGCTGGGCAGAGCGAGCAAGGCTTCTGCTGCCTGCAGGCGTCGTGGCCCTCCCCACCTCTCTGTGCAGGGCTGTAGCCTCCCCTTGTCCCCCTCCGTTCTCCAGGACGCTAAGAGTGGCAAGCCCAGCGCGTCCGGTGCACTCGGTGCCTGGCCCGGGGATCTGGGTGCGAGGACCAGACTGTTCAACCCCCCAGTGGGAAGTGCGCCACTCGCCCCGCAGGGCAGCAGACAGCTGCTCGCCCCGCGCCAGCACCAGCTCTGCCATCGAGCCCAGTCAGCGGGCGATGCCAGGGCAGGGCTGTGCCCCTGGAGCTCAGCCCCCTCAGGAGCTGCTCTGGAGTGGGGCCTCTGCCCCGGCCCACTCCCTGCCACAGAGCAGGCAGGTTGCGTCAGGGAGCTGCTGCGGTCCCAGCTTGGGGGGCAGAGGAGCTGACCCGCTCATGGGCCGCTGGGCTGGCTAAAGGGACGGCCCGGCCAAGGGGGCCTGAGCCTGGGTGTCAGCTTTTCTGGGTGGGGCAGCTGCCCAGGGGCGTCTGTCCTGGACACAGCATAGCTCAGCCACGGGAGGCCAGGCCAGCCACGGGCATGAGCATTTGTGCATGCCTGTGCGTCGGGTCCTACGGCCCTGTGGTCGTGTCGGTTGTCCAGTCCGTGTGATGTCGCTGTCGGTGCAGCACGCTTCCCATTTGCTGGGATGTTCCAGGCAAGATCTTTGAAAGTCTTTGAAAAAATTATCAAGGCTCACATTTGTGAGAGCCCGGCAGGACAAATTATGCTGAGGGGAAACCAGCACGGGTTCGTGGCAGGCAGATCGTGCCTGACCAATCTAGTTTCTTTTATGACCAGGTTACGAAACGCCTGGACGCAGGAGTAGGGTGGATGTCGTATACTTAGACTTCAGGAAGGCCTTCGATACGGTATCCCACCCCATACTGGTGAACAAGTTAAGAGGCTGTGACTTGGATGGCTACACAGTCCGGTGGGTGGCGAATTGGCTGGAGGGTC